TTGGATATCAGAATTTTCCCCCTCTATCCGGCGAGAGCGAAGTGGTGGGGATCTTTGCGCAGGAGGCGGGTGAAGGAGGTACTGCATCCCGTGGGTTGCTAGCAGTTATTTTTGCTACATCTGGGCCTGCGGGCGGCAGCTGGACAGTATGGCATCTTCCGTGAGGCTTATGGCCAAATCCAAGCTGCTTGGACTGACCCAAACTGGGCTCGTTAAGCAGGTATGTTGGTAGTTTGTTCTGCGCCAAAGTTATGGCAAATCTGTTTATCTGCAGTTTGTTATATAATGTGTTGATATGGCCGGTACGAACGAAATGGCACACCGACCAGATCTTGGCATTAACCCGTCAGAAATGTTAAACCCTCCCAGAGCCTATTTTTCATGTTGTTTGTCAACTTATGTCTGCATCTGCTGTCTGTATCATCATCTTATTTTATGTCAGGAATGTCATTGTGTTTTGCAACCAGTTGTGGCCATAACACCGTTATTTATCACATTGCCAAAACATGCCATGGATGCATAAATGCATGGTATTTGAATAAGTGATGTTCTTTTGCACAATTGCAATATCACCCTTATTTCACCTTGCCTGTTCAGGCTAGTTTTGTTACATAACCCCCAGTCTTTAAAACTTGGAAGAGCAGTCGATGTTTGTCAGTTTGCAAAACATGGCAGACTTCCATGAGATCTATTGGCAGGGTTGGAGCAAGAAGTTGAATGTTAGGTAAGAGTTTGATGATTGGGTCAGTTCACATTGTTTTGGGGCAGCCCATGGTACCATTGGCTAGGTATTGACCTGAGGCAAACATTGAGTGGAGCAGGAAAAGGCACTGCTGCTTATGAAAAAGAGGTGTCAATTGATGAAGGCAAAGGTAGCCCAAGGGCTAAATGTGCTACATTTATTGTAATGTATTATAGTTTTCTATATTGCTGCAATCTTATGCTGCATGACTAGATGCTGCTGCATATAATGCACCTAGTCAGAGATCCATAAACTTAATTAAGGGACCTGAGCAAAAAAATCAAGTCAAACATTTTGTTTGCTCCTGGTTCTGCCACTTGTGCTGATCAGGTGAACTAGTCGTAAACAACTGGAGACCAATGAGTGGTGAGTTAGGAGCTGTTAGATTATTGTTGACACTGAAATACGCATGGATTTGTGCATGCTGCAAAGTTGGGTAATATTATGGTTTATTGCAAAATATTGAATAGTAAATTCAGTGTGACCTTGCCCTCTATGAGAGAAACAGATGGTGCTATCAGTTAGTAAGTGCAAATAGGATGGCCAAGAAAATCTTGGAGGCCTGCTCCCACAGCTATGATTGGAGCTATGTGAAACATCTTGTTGACCATCTTTTGCAGACTGGCAGTTAATAAGTTCCTTGAGTGGGTTTGATCCTGCCCCAATTGGAGCAGTGACCTGATGTGCTTGGGGCAGGGGCCAGTGGTCTGGTGATGGTGGCAGGTGTGGGGTACTATCCATGAGTTTTCAAATAATCTAGTTTTCATCTACTTTTTCTTATTATCCCCATCAGTGTTCAATATTGGGCAGAATCACACTTTTTAACATTTAATTTTTGCTTTACTTTTGTGTGTTCCCAAATAATTTGCAGCAGGTGTAAATTGCATTGAGCCTTCCGCAATGTGAATTAGCTCATTGCTTTGGAGCTGCAGTGCTGACTACTGGTCTAGTTGGCATGCATTTTTGGGGCTGGTTCCTTGTAAGTACATTCAGTCAAAACTGGGGAGAGTAAAAGTCTTGTGCCTGCATATTGACAGGGAGATGATTTAATTGATGGAATCTCTAGTGATGGAGGCTGCATGAGCAGGCAGGTGCAGGACCTGGCAGGATGATAGGGCAGAGATCAAGATAATGATGGTGCAGTACAGATGATTGTGGCATATTTGGTTAGTGGACCTTCCTTGCCTTTATAGATTGTCACCATCATATCTTTATGCATAAGTACTTTTTCAACTCTGCCTGATCTCTGGATATGGAGCTTTCACCGACAAATTTTTGTATCAATTGTTTATGAGATAAAGGAAAACAGTTAAACCCAATTTTATTTTGGTCTGATCACAAACCAATAAATAATCAGATAAAAAGTTGTTCAAAGTTATACAAGCTCTATATGGCATGCTGTGTTTTGCTCTCTTATGAAGGGGAAGTCGAAAAAAGTCACTCAAAATTACCATCAGCTATCTGAAATTGTTCCATTTACCTCTTATTTGTTATGTGTCATGTTTTATGCCCAAATCAGCAATCAACACCTGCAATTCCCCATTGGCTATACCCCCAATCCTGTGGTAAACATGATGTGCAAAACTATCTTTCATTTGTTTCCTTTTTGGACTAGAGATGTCAGAAACAACAGGCATGCCGCTTCTCATAAAATATGGCAATGGTTTCTGTCTTTGAGATTTTACAATAATTTTCCAAAGATTGTACCATGATTTGCAAGCACATGGCAGCATTGTGTCATGCCATTTAAAGACCCACTCCTCGTGCCATGTTCTGGTTGTGCTCCATCATAGTTCCCTCCCCTTCCATGTATGGCAATGTATAGTTGGCTCCCAAGCTCTCCAACATTTGCTGAAATTTGTATACCTGGATTAAAATACAAATGGCTCTGCAAGTATGAATTGTTTATCATAGACCCTGTCAAGCCAAAGTTCTGGAATCCTCCTGTACTAAACCCTCCATTTTCCTGCATGTTTGTGCATGGTACAGTATTTTTGTGCTGATTCTACCACTGGAAACATACAGCCAGGTATTGCAGGTAGTGACATGTATGCATATGGTAAGTACTGACTTGCATTGTCTCTTCTTTCCACAGCCTGTTGCAGGCCTGTCCACTGCTGCCAATGCCAGCAAGACAAAAAAGGTGGGGATGCCAGGATTTTGCTTGATTTGCATTGTCTCCTTTGGATAGAATGCTTGTTGACCTGGTTATGATGCTCAAACATCATGTGCTGATGTATAAATGATACATTGGTATTTATGTTTTATGATTTTATTTGTATGAACATTGTATGCTGATGTGTTTACAGCTGCAGCTACATTAGTATATGCTTTTATGATTGTATCATTGTGTGAACATCATATGCTGATGTGTTTGACAGCTACATTAGTATTTATGTTTTTAAGACTCTGTCAATAGTCTGGATAAGTCAAATTATCATTTTATCAGCATGCTTGACATGCACATGACCCTCAAACGTTATTCCTGAGGTCAACAGAATTGTCCAGAAAGCTTAAAGGATGTTAGACAGGCAATTGTCAGTAAAATGGGAAAAACTTTAGGGGGCCTTTCAAAAAATACGTACTTTGATTATGTGCCTTAACCCTTGCCTTGATTCCCCGTTTTTCGTGGCGCGAACTGATGGGGGAAGGGGTACGGTGCGATCCCTCCCCCCTCCTTGGTGTTTCCAAAGTAATGACCATCAAGCCAGCGGAAGACACGACGGAACAAGGAGAGAAGATTGGTCTCAAGGAGATCTCGCAATTGTACTATTTGTATGTTGTGGGTATTAATGCCCGTTATATTTGGCCA